TACAAAGGATCCCGAGGACGCTTTCCCGAACGGTTTTCAAGCGATCTGTTTCGCCTTCGGGTCCAACCGGCAGTCCGGCGAGCCTCTTCCACACCCAGGCGATGCGGCCCGACCGGTGGTCGTGATCGACGCCGTCCACCGCCGGGGTTTGTGCGCCTTGCTCGGTGAGGGTCTCGACCTCATCCACCCAGTCCCGYGCCATTGCCGGTAGCTCGGCCGAGAGGAGGGCGGCCGCCGATTCCAGATCCACGGCCGGGCCTTCCTCCGGGTTTCGGCCGGGAGCAATCCGTTCCGACCAGAGCCGATCGATCTCGTCCAGGCCTCGTTCCCCCGAACCCAGCGCCTCCCGGAGCGCCACCAGCGGGCTCTCGGTGRCCCGCACCCGCTCCGAGAAGAGCCCCCGCAGCTCTTCGAGGTCCCGGGCGTCGTCGGGGGACACCACCACGAGGCACCCGAGGGGGGTCCCGGACTCCCCGTCGGGGCGGCCGGGATCCGCCCCCGCGGACAGCAGCCGCTCGGCACACTCGATCCGGTTGCGGCGGTGCTTCGCCGACCTCCGGACCGCGCTCGACGCCAGGCACTCGTGGAGGGGCGTGGAGCCGTCCGCGCTGGCGTTTGCGTTCGCGCCGCGGGCCAGCAGGGCCCCWACGCAGCCCACCCGGCCCCACCAGGCCGCGAAGTGGAGGGCCGACCGCCCCAGGGGATTGGTGTGGGAGGCCGAGGAGGGGTGTTCCTTTAGGATTCGTTCTACCGAGGAGGCGTCGCCCCTTCGGGCCGCGACCAGMAGGCAGTCCCACTCGGGGTGGGCGTTGTGGTGGGCGGTCGGTTCGGGATGCAGGCCGTCGTTGGTTGGGGTTTGGGGGGCCATCCCGTCCGCGGGGCGCTGCTTGCGTCGCCGTGTTTACACAGAGACCAATCCCTCGGTCGATCCGTTTCGCGTGTCTTCGAAAGCAGTGTGTCACGCCATGGCTCGCGCCGCTGTATCTTYATTGCCGTGCAATGGATGGYTTGSCACAAACCGAAACCTGTCGAAACCACCCACGAACGAGGGGTTTACGACAGCGATACGTATGTACGAGTACCGTACCGTACGTACTGTACGTAAAATACTGAACTACGGTTCATGTACGGCAGATATTTTTTCAGCACCYTAAAAAACAAACATTCAATCCTCTTCTGTGCACGACTGAATCAAAACGACCATATATGGGGAAGAACTAAGTGTCGTACGTGCAGYTAGTACTGTAGCCGGTAATGAAGGTATTCTTGGTCGTTCGTCATCGATCCGAAACATGCAGCCCTTGTTTCGCTAGCTGTACGGTAGAAACTCCCGTGTACGGACCGGTACYATGCGAGTGCTGAGTATGTTCAACGGCGATGGACCATTTCCCTTGGCAACACACACACATACACACACTCTCACACACACCTGCCACAGACCACAACCACGGTCCCAAGCACCCACCGGTTCGAAGAGAAGCTTGTGATCGCGGTCGAACGACACGAGGTGGACGGAAGAGGCACYGCGAACGAAGGAAAACACCCCACAACACAATGACGGAAGAGCCTCCGGTTCCGGGCGACAACGGCGTCAGCGTCGCTGCCCGAGACACCGATCCCGCTGCCGAACCTTGCGGCTTCGCCACCGAGAAAGTTCCTCCCTCCGGCGCCCAGACGAGGGAGAATCCCTCTCGGGAAGACGGAAGCGCCGGCGGTGGGGAGATCCAAGCCGAGAAGCCGGTAGTGGCCCCGAAAAAGCCCGCGTGGGGCATCTCTGCCCCCGCGGCGAGCGGCTCGGACGTGCCCGCCACCACGCGGGGAGCTCCCAGTTTCGCGGAAATCATGAACGACCAGAGCAGGGACCGGGCCGCGGCCCGGCTGGCCTATTCCGGCGCCGGGGCTTCCGCCGGGGAAGGCGTGTCCCTGGCCGAAATCCAGGCCGAGCAGGAACGGCTCTTTGCGTCGCTGGCCCCAGGGGGCGAGCCTTCGGCACCCGGAGGAAGCGCCGCCGAGCCGAAACCGAGCGGCACCACCGGCGGCCCGGAAATCCCCGACGCGGACGAAGAAGAGCGCCGGATGATCGAACTGGCGATCCAGCAGTCGCTGGCTGCCGAAGCCGCCGAGCCGGAWTTGATCGGAGATGGGCCACCGGCGGCGTCAGGGGCCGCAAGGAAACCGACCCCGGAAGAGGCCGAGCGGGAGATGATCGAAGCCGCCCTGCGGGAGGCGGACGAAATGGAAAGGGYGGGTGCCCTCCCACCGGCGGCCGATGCCAAGCCGGCGGCGGCAGCCAAGCCCAGCCCGGAAGAGGCCGAGCGGGAAATGATCGAAGCCGCCCTRCGGGAGGCGGACGAACGGGAAAGGGCGGATGCCAAGCYGGTTGCGGCAGCCAAGCCCAGCCCGGAAGACGCCGAGCGCGCCATGATCGAGGCCGCCCTGCGGGAGGCGGACGCAAAGGAGCGAAGGGACGAGGAAGCGGAGTCCCTCCGCCTGGTGATGCAGCTCCAGCAGGAAGAGCTCACGCTGGCCCGGCAGCGACAGCGGCACCAGGAACGGACCTCCCTGACCACGGGCAACGTCCGAACCATGACCCGTGCCGAACTAGAGGCGGAGRCGTACGGCGGCGCCAGCGCTTCCATGCCGCCCGATTTGGATGCCTACGAGGACGACGATGGCGATGCGGACACCGGCTTTCGGATGAACCAGCAGCGCCAGAACTCGTCCTCCGGGTGGTATCGGAAGGACCGAAACACCATCGTGGGTCCCAACAACGAGATCCGGACGAAGCATGACGTTCGGCTCCAGGGACAAACGAACGCCTCCTTTCTGGACCTGGACGTAGTCGACGACGACACCGGCCTCCGGACGCACGTGGGCAACACGGCCTTCAACGCGTTTCGAAAAACCGTTGCCGGGAGCTACCACTCCAAGGGCGGACACCGGGGCACCTCGAAGGGCGTCGCAACGCACGGAACGGGGAGGGCCGGCACCGACTCGGACGCCACCAAGGGCGGTGCCCTGGACCAGCACGTCAGGCTGCACATCTCCAGGGCCATTAACGCGGGGATCATCGAGCGGTGCAACGGTGTGGTCAAACAGGGAAAGGAAGCCGTTGTCTACCACGCGGTGGGCGGCMTCCTCAACGACAAGGTCCAGGATGCTTCGAGCGACGACGGCGACCACGACGCTGGCAGTTCCGATAGCGATAGCGACAGTGACAGCGACAGCGAAAGCCTTGTTGCCGGCGATCAACCGGAAAAGATACCGGTCGGCGGGAACGACGGGCATGACGTTGCCGTCAAGGTCTTCAAGCGAATCAAGGAATTTAAGGGGCGGGGGGAATACGTCGACGGAGATCCYCGCTACGCCGGTCGCCCCTTTCGAAGCTTTACGGACCGCGAGCAACTGGAGGTGTGGACCGAAAAGGAATACCGAAACCTCGTCCGGGCCTACCGCGCCCGGGTCCCTGTGCCGAACCCGATCCACTACAAGGAGAACGTGATCTTTATGAGGTTTCTCGGGGAGGACGGCTGGCCGGCACCGCAGATCMGGGAGGTCCAGATCCGGAAGGGGTCCTCCAAGTGGGCCGCCTTGTACGACCAGGTAATGGGATCCGTCCGGCGATTGTTCCGGGATGCAAGGCTGRTCCACGGCGACCTTAGCGAATACAACATCCTGATYGCCCCGAACTCCCAGGTGGACCACAAGAGYGAACACGTGTCTTCCAAGGAAGACCTGCAAGCGGTCCTGATCGATTTCGGGCAAGCGGTAGAAGTCCGCCACCCAAACGCGGAAGAACTCCTCAGAAGAGACCTATCGAGGGTCAGGGAGTTCTTCACGAAGCGAGGCGTTACCACRGCAATGAGCGACGAAGAAGCGATGGAATTCGTGGTTGCCGATCACCGTTTTTCCATAAACATGAACGACGTGCGGATGGACGGTATGTAGCGACTGCCATGCTCGGCCGTTGCCGTTTGCGTTCGTAAACAAAGCAGCAAGAGATTCGTTTCGACCCGACGAATGTTCTATTCTCGAAACATAGATGCASTAATGCGACGAACAAACAAGCCAATTCTTCAAACTAAACGGTCTTTTTCCCATTTTTCCGCCAYACCAATCTAATACATTATGTAGATCGTCTCGTATTAGAACTTTCTAGTACGGAACAARTACTTCAGTCCGGACACGGTGCAGAAACTAAAGTTGTTGACTATGTGGAAAAAGATAAAGAAGTCTATGTTACGTGRGGCTCGAGAGATGCGTGATTCCTCATAAATGGTCGTGGTGGTKCAATCTCGGTACCCTTCTAGCATCACTATTCTATCACCAACAAATGAAATAGTGGAGGATGGATTCCTTTAGCCGACTAGTCTATGGTACTGGTTTTTGTGTTGCGGTTTATAATCTGGGGACAATGTTGAAGGTGCACTGCTCGTARGTCGTGCAGCAGATATCCTGGCACTCGGAGAGACAGTCCTCCTTCGACTTYGCTAGGCCATCCGGACCGGGGGTAGACTGGCACTGGTTTCGACAATCGGCGATCGATCTCAAAAAGTCAGGATCCTTCCTGGTCCCCTTAGTATTGTCCGACTTTTTGRCGGTCTCTCCGGGTGGTAGAGGTTTCTTCCCCGACACAAACGTCGTTCCCGGAGGATAAGACGAGTCGGCGGCGATGACCGCCGGGGCGCCGATTCCCATCAGGCACACATTCATCGCAGCGGCACTCAGGAATCGGCGTCGCGTGTCGTGGGCCCCAGMACTCGACGACTYCGAAGGAGATTCATCGGTYGACGGGCCACTCATGCGKAGGCTCGTTTTGGCGGAGGGACTAGAAGACGAGATTCGAKTGAATTGTCGAGGGGGRGACCAGGCCAAAACCGACGGTGCCATGAAGCATATCAACAGAATCACCGATTTATGGATCGCATTGAAAGCTGTTTCTTTTGACGAGAATGACATGCTGCTACTCTGTCACTTCTTTCCGTGAAATATTCGTGGGTGCTAGTTTTGGGAAAAACGGTAGTTATGATGTCACTGATCCGTAYTAGTAGTGYTGTCGTCGGACGGGTTGACGATTGATTGACTACTTAGACARCAAGATTAGGAGTTGTACTGTCGTACTTGTACCGGACAGGTATCGGAGACGATRAGGATCTTGACTGACAACATGACGAAGGTGGTGATGAGGATGATCGTTCCATCAGCCAAAAAAATGGCAGGATCGTTTGTCACGAACGACTGACGTACGCACGTTTGTAGAACCGTACAATAGAAACTCGGTTCGTGGTCGCAGTTAGGGAAGCAAGTGCGACATGAATGCTAATAAGCCCTACATCTGTTCTGATTGAATGTACTGTATTCTCTCTCCGACATTAATGGGCTTGAACCCATCAAAAGGATTTGATCAAAACATCATGTCCATGGAGAAGGTCGAAAGCGAAGAGGAAAATGAAATTTASGCTATTGATCGGAGAGGGTTGACCATCGGTAGACAACTGCAACGATACTATCAAGAATATATTTCATGTCTTTGTCGAGGGATCATCGCAACAATAACGGCTCCGATTCGTAAAGGTTGCCGCTGTACTCGTGCCTACCTCTTCGAATTTCATACAGYTTGCCCACTAGCTACTGTACTGCCTCCCCGCTACAATGSAACACCAACGTCGCGGTTCTCACAATTACGATGCACAGTCCCGGTCGTCGCAAATTTCGAGCATCGAACGAAGCGAAGGACCCGACGGCGTACATTCCAACATTTCTACCATGGGGTCGTTAGAGCCGCAAAGTGGCGGAGGAAATGGCATGCGATTTCCTCTCCACAAGCATGTACATTTTCGTCATACAAGTAGCAATGACAAACATAGTGATGGAGGCAGAAATTCCCATTATAGTGATATCGAGGAACGCCAAACTTCTGCCCGTTCTACTGGTAGAAACGGCCATTTCAATCCAGAAGAATAYAAGGGTACGTGACTTTTTGAAGAAACGCAATGGTTCAACTCTTTTCCGATGCCGTAACTATTAMAACGTAATGATAGTCTCACAAACGTACGTTTTGCGTGTTCAGATCCAAATGGCGAAATGGTACCACTGCACACAAAATACCAAAACGGWTACCACGGTGTAAACAAGGACGCAACMATTCCAAGATCAAATCGATCCGGATACAACAAGTACGCTACAAATTATACGAGCAATCGAAATTTGAACACTTGCACAAATGACATGGATCCAAGAGACAAACGAAAATACATAKCATGTAACGTGCCAACCAAAGATATTTCCACAATCATTYCTGCGGTTGCAGCCCTGGCATTATGCATCGGAGCCTTGTTTGCCGGTCTTTTTCATGCGGTGAAGAAACCCAATATWCGTCCCCACCAWGAAGATCAYGTRGGCCCCTACGCCTCGCYCGATTTGTTTGATAGCGTAGGAAGGTATATCTTCGAGGACTACGACAYCCAAACTCCCTATTCGGACTTCTTGCCCGGGTTGGCTGGCATCTACGGAAARCCGCTGTATGCGTTCTTCGTCAATCGAGGCCAGGGGATTGCTTCGTTTGGAGTCAAATCAAAGGACACCCCAATCATGGARTTTTCACCCGCCAATACCGCGTACCAAACTACATCTCTTGTTGGATTTCGAACATTTATCCAGGGCCGAAGGGGCGAAGGCAAAGAAACTTTTCTGGTGGAACCGTTCAGTCCACTCACAACCAACTTTCCCGCCATGATGGAGAACGGACCGGAGATCACGCGACCTCCTACCAACAAACGAACGCTATACAGTGGCGAGAACGAGATGCAGATCCAAGAAATAGATTACGAACAACAATTGGAAACGAACGTGACATATTTCATCTTACCCGAAGAAGATTTCGGAGCTTTTGTTCGGCGGGTAACCATAACCAACACGCATCCGGAAGAGACTACRACCATTTCCTTTCTGGACGGACTGGCAAAAATGCAACCAGCGGGAGGTAATATCAATGGTTATCTCAAAAACATGGGAAGGACTCTCGAAGGCTTCATGGGAGTATATTTCCCGTACGAGGATACCATTTCGATGCCCTTTTATCGTTTGTCGTCGAGGCCGATCGACTCTGAATTTGTCGAGGCTCAGGAACGTGGACACTACTGTGTAAGCATTCGGGAGGACAGGAATACTTCGTTACTACCTATAGTCTACGATACGTCAAAAGTATTTGGCGAAGATACCACGCTGTTGAGACCACTGGAATTATACAGAAAATCAATCAACGATATCGTGAGCGGACCCCAGTACGGAAAAGCAAAGACGTCGTCGTGCTTTGCAGCGGTAGAAGATGTAACGCTTCAGCCTGGAGAATCCGTCACGACCACAACCTTTTTTGGCGTGGCAGACCACATTCTAGATCTTCCGGTTATAGTTCGGAGACTCCGACAGGATGGATTTGCTCAGTACAAATTGACAAGAACGAGAGAAGTTATTCGACAAATAACAAGCAGCGTAGAGACCAAGTCGGGGTCCGCTATTTTTGATGCACATGTGAGCCAGATGTTTCTCGATAACAGTCTCCGAGGAGGAATTCCTATCGTCCTTGGTGACCAAGAAGATAACAATGCAATATTGACAGTGGACGAAGACCCAAGACTAAAGGTCTATCATGTATTTTCCCGGATTCATGGTGATTTAGAAAGAGACTACAACGACTTCGAACTCCCGCCGACATTCTTTTCTCAGGGGCCCGGAAACTTCCGTGACGTCGCACAAAATCGGAGGAATGACGTTGTATTTAATCCAAARATTGGATCCTTCAACATAAGATTGTTTCTGTCACTCATTCAAGCCGATGGCTACGAGCCAAATTCGGTCGAAGGTGTGGTATTTACGATCGAGGACAAGAATCTWTGCAACGAGATTGCTACAAACGCAGTKGGCCCCGCCGACGGCCACAGAGCTCAGCGAGAAGCGCTAAGTGAAATTCTAAACGATGGACCTTTTCGGCCTGGACAACTGTTCCAGCTGATGGCAGAACAAAACATCTTTTTGATTGTTTCGAGACAAGAATTCATTGATATGGTTGCTGTTGCCGCAAATACCCACCCCTTTGCTGTTTACAAGGAAGGATACTGGGCGGACCATTGGACTTACTACTTGGACATGATCCAGTCCTATCTTTCGATTTATCCAGATGAAGAAGAACGTGTGATGTTTGATACCAGTTTGCCGTACTTCTTTTCCCCAGCCTCGGTACAACCTAGAAGTAAAAAATACGTCAAGAATCTATCATACGATGGAGGCCATAATCATATTCAACAGCTTGACGCAACTATTGATGACAGTGCAAAAARAGATCACATGAACAAATTTTTCGCCCAAAAAATCGGTTGGTATCGGATTGCTGCACACTGGCAACACGATGAGTCTGGAGATGAGTTCGAGAGCTCACCGTACGCGAAACTGTTTCTTTTAGCAACGTTAAAGTTTGCTACAAGAGATGCTCTGGGAATGGGCATTGAATACGAAGCAGGAAAACCGGGTTGGGATGATGCGAATAACGGATTACCGGGAATGCTAGGCTCAGGTATGCCAGAAAGYTTTGAATTGAAAGCATTGATAAATTACCTYGTGCGCACTGGAAACAAATATGCGAGAGATTTCGATATCCCCGAAGAACTATACGAGCTMTACAATGCGATCAATGACAATCTCATGGCACTGAAAGGTTACAAAACTAATATCTCATTGCCGGTGGAAGAAGTGCCGCACGAACTGTTTTCTTACTGGGACAATGTTTCGTTTGCGAGAGAACTATACCGGGAGAAAACAAGGATAACTTTCTCGGGAAAGACCGTTCGGATGGAGCGTGGAGTGGCTGTCAAGAGCTTGAAAAACTGGGCGAGGGAGATCGACAAAGGAATCATTCGAGCCAAATTACTCGGAACAAGAGGCCATGATGAYGATGGAAGCAGCGGGATCATTCCAACTTACTTTGCCTACAGAGTGACAAATTGGAACGTCACGGGTGAAAGCAATTCAAATGGGCACCCCTATGTAATTCCGTTGAATATGACTGTCAGGCATTTCCCACTCTTTCTAGAGGGGCCGACAAAAATGATGAAGACCGTCGGTCCCATTGCCGCAAGGGACATTTTTTTCTCGGTTCGGAACTCGACCCTTTACGACAAACCACTKCACATGTACACGGTGAGTGCCAGCCTTACCGGTCAGCCGGTCGAGATGGGGCGGTCCACCGCGTTTGCCCAGGGCTGGTTCGAGAACCAAAGCGTCTGGCTTCACATGTCGTACAAATTCTACCTCGAGTTGCTCCGGCACAAGCTGTACGACGACTTTTTCGATTCGGTTCTGGAGGGAGGCYTGCTGCCTTTTGTGGACGCCAGGACATACGGCCGCACGCCGATGCAGTGTTCTTCCTTCATTGCGTCCTCGGTCTTTGAGGACCCGTCGGTGCGTGGGAGGGGCTTTATGGGCAGGCTGAGCGGGTCTACGGCCGAGTTTTTGAGCATGTGGATACTGATGTTCATCGGTCCGAATCCGTTTTTCATCGACGCGGCCAGCGGGGACGTTCGGATGCAGCTGGCACCGACCATTCCCGGCTGGCTCTTTCACACCCAGAGCGGGCCTTCCAAGATGGGGGGATTGATGGTAAACGACGACGCCACGCCYCGGATAAGCTTCAAGTTGTTTTCGTCGATAGCGGTGCACTATTTCAACGAGGACAAGACCGACGTGCTGGGGACTCCGCCACAGCGCTACAGGGTCGGACTCCGAGACGGTTCCATCTTTGAATTCAACCAGACCTTCGTCCCCACCGACATGGCGGAAAAGATTCGTCGGGTMGTGTTTGTCGATTTCATAGAGGCCCACTTTTGAGRATAGATTGGGCCCGGCTTGCTGGTTTYGCCGTGTGTCCTTGGTCCAMYTTTGGTGTTCACCAAGGCTCAACTAGGTTCTCCATCKCTACCGTAATTCTAAGAACTAGATGAAAATAGACAACCTTGTGGAGTAATGCTTGTGGAACAATGYTCTTGCTTGTAAAACGAAAACAGAATCTATGCGGCATACTACTATTGTATTGTACTATTACAGTATAGCAAAGAATACTGTTWGCTTCGCAATACACGAGCAGTGCCGGATCCCACCGTGCACTCACAACTCACCGCCGTCACCTCCGGCTGCGYTTGTTCGTTCCTTCTATGGTTTGCAGCTCGGTCTGTAGAATTTCCAGCGTCGCCTTGTTCAGGTCGAACCACGCCATCCACCCGTCCATGTCGTGTTCCAGGTTGGGCTCTTTCGACACCAAAAAGGCAACGTCCGGCGGTTCTTCGGRTTCCTCGCCGTCCCCGGCAGCGCCGCCGGTGGCGTTTCCGGGACTGTTTTCGCCGGTGCCCGCGCCGGCCCCCGGAGCGTCGGGGGCCGGCAGCATGGTGGGCCGAAAGCCGGCCGCAATCAGCAGCTCGATGCCTCCTTCGTGCCGTCCAATGTCCCGGTGAAAGTTKGGGTTTGCGCACCTGATTTTCCGGTTGTTGATCTCTTCGGGGTGTTTCTGGATCTGCTCAAAGAGGGTGCACAGCGACCGCAGCGCCACGATGCGCTCCGGATCGAGAGCCTTCGGGGCCCTTCCTTCTTCCTGGGCGCCYTGTTCTCCCCGATCGCCGGACGCCTCCGGCCGCAGCAAGACGCCCAGGTAGTGCTTGACACCCTCGGGTCCCTTTCGGATGCTGTCCAGGTAGTTCCKCTCGGCTWCCCTCCTCGCCTCTTCCTGTTCCCGGCGCCGCACCCGTGCTTCTTCCGCTTGTTGGTGCAGCAGGTCCCTCTGGGCCTTTTCCTCGGCGGCCCGTCGCTSGGCCCGCTGCCGTTCCAGGTCTTTCTGGCGGGCTTCGTCCTCCGCCATCCTTCGTCGGGTTTCTTCTTCCGTYTTGATCCTGGCGTCTTTTTCCGAGGCTTCCCGCCGCAGCTTTTCTTGCTCCCGGGCRTCRTGCTGTTCCTTTAGTTTYGCGAACAAAAGGCTGGCGGGGGAGGCTTCGYGGCACGGCGGTGTTTGCTCCKCWTTGACGTCGTTGTCGTCAAAGGCGCAACCGCTTGGATCGATGATCAGGCTGCCATCGGGGTTGGTGTTCGCGTCGGCAACCACCGGTTCCGGTAGCTCTTTTCCTCGACCGGATTCTTCGAGGTTGTCCTGTCGCTCTTGTTCTCTCTGCTGCTCCAACAGTTCCTGCCGCTTCCGGTGCTCCCGCCGCCTCTCTTCCTGCCGTTGTTCCCGGAGGTCCAGCTGCTGCCGCCGRTACTCGTCGAGCGCGAGGCGCCRGCGTTCCCGCTCCTCCGGGAAGGTCGCCACGAACTGGGCGCACAAAAAGTCGTGCCCGCCCACCAGCTTGCGGACCCGCGCCCGGCTCTTGGGACCGTACCGGGGCTGTTCCGTGACGGGATCGATCTCGAAGAGGCGCTTCCGGAACTTCTCGGCGCGCGGGGCCAGGTCTTCCAGGGCTGCCTCGGTCGCCCGGAGGGACCGGACGAGCGAGGAATCGTCGGCATGGGCACCCGGTGCAAGGGTGCCCGCGCTTTTKCCCGCACCGAGCTCGCTCGGGACGGGGGGCAAGAGGGCCGTCTGCCCCGGGTCCAAGAGAGGGGACCTCCGAATCCCTTCGTATGCTTCCAGCAGCTCGTTGATCTTCTCCTCTGTTTTTCGCAGCTCCATTGTCGAAAGTC